ATTTATATATATATATTTATGTAATAATCATAAAGCGCGCGAGAAAAAACTCATGCCCATCGGAATTACATCGATGATATTCCTCGTGACGTTAAAATTCGGCGTCTTAACGAGATAATCAATTCTTTTCATGAAAACGCAAAAATCCGATATAGTCAATTTATTGGTAAACCACAATTAGTTTTAATTGAAGGTTATTCAAAGCGAGATAGTCAAAGGTTAAAAGGAATCTCTGACGGAGGGCATAAAATTCATTTCGATGATGCTAACGTAATTGATTGTATAGGAGTAAATAATAATAATATTGATCTGATGATGAAACATTTGGAAAATAGTTCAAAGAGAAATAGATTTAATAATTTATTTGACATTTCTCAAAAGACAACAAATATGAAATCAGGAGATTATGTTCTGGTGTTACCAATTTCAACAACTGGTTGTTCATTTGACGCGATACCATTAGCAAAAATGTCTATTGCACAGTTTAATAATGGAAAATTTAGCGAATATAATATAAATGTAGGAGACAATTTGCATGTATTTATTGATAAATATAAAAACGTGAACAAGATTTGATATTATTAATTTAATTTAAGCACTAGACGACAAAGAATTAATAAAAAAAAAAAGAAATTCGAGTCGAGTGAGACAATACTAAATAAAATAAGGTTCGCGTCGCGTTGCAATATAAAAGGATCATCTGATCTAAGAATTCAAAATGTTTTCATTACGTTATTAAAAATGCGAGAAAATAAAGTTAAATCCGTTTTTTCTTTTGATATTCCAGCTCAAATAATTCACAAAAATGAAAGTTTCTATACTCCACCTTTCGCGACTTCATACAATATGTTTTGGCAGTTACGCTTAAAAGTAATATTATTTTGTTATCAAGAATAAAAAATCCGATAATATATTGTACTAAAATATTTTTATATAGAAAAATTCAAATGATCCAAATTGTTATGCATTAACTCTTAATGCAATACCAAATCCTGAGGAAGAAATTTCATCATCCACCTGGGATGATCGAGAGAAATTTTCGGCTACACTTTTTATGAAAAATCCTGATTTATCATTGGACCATGGTCCTCTTTGCGCCTCATCAAGCAAAGATTATGAATTTGGTGCGTTTAATTTATTTTAATTTGAATATTTACAAGTCATTTTAATTTAATTTTTATTAATCAATAGGTGTTGAAAAATTTGTATCAATTAATGAACTTCCTAAAGTTGGATATATTACAATTGGTGTTTGGTTCAACAAGATAATAATCGAATATGCAAAACCCGAATATCTAATTCCACCTCGACCATGGCCAAAAAATCTTGTCGAAGCTTGGGAAAACGAATTAAATAAATCCGATTTCGCCGACATTCAATTTAATGTGAATAATAAAAAAATATATGCACGTAGTTCCATTCTTTCACTTCGTTCGGAATATTTTCGTAAAATGATTGAAGGTGGTTGGACTGAAACAAATCAATGCGATTATGATGTTAAAGACAACAAAGTTACTGCTACATTCAAAGACACATCGAAACGTCCTGATAAAGAAGGAGATCCTCAATCTGATATTATAGTAGTTATTAAAGAAAATAGCAAATATAGTGATGAACAGTTACAAAATTGGACACCTCCACAAATTCGTTACAAAGTCAATGTGACTGATGTCCATGAAGATACTTTTCTTGAGATGTTACGTTATCTATACACGAACAATTTAGAATTTGATTCAACTTCTTTACATAAAAGACCTTTAGACATTTTCATTATTGCTGATAAATATCTCATTCCGGATTTACGTCAATTAGCTAAATCGCAAATTTATAAAGATTTAACGGTAGATAATGCAGCAGAGATTTTGTTTGGTCAAGTTTATGAATGGGATGATTTAAAAAAAGATGTAATGAAATATGTAGTTTCAGAATTCTCAAAGATCAGAAAAACTGACGGATACAAAAAGGTTATTTTAAATAACGTTGAATTCCCGGCGGCCGTTGAATTAATGTCTGAACTTATTAAACTTTTAGTACCTGAAGATGATAATGATAAAGTCCCGGAAGAACAAGAAATCTTCTTTGAAGAAGAAGTAATAGTAGATAAGAATAATGTGAATAATTATTTGCTTCGAAAATGAAATATAATATGACGAGAAAAATTTTATAACTTCTAAAAGATTTAATAATTATATTCAATAATATCTAATTTCCATGCAAGTAGAAATTTATTCAATTTGACATCAAAATATCATGAAAAAAGTGTTGAATTTTAAGATGTATTAAATCTAATCTTTTATAATTCATTAAATAGAACCAAGAATCAACATCAAAATTCTAAAAATGTCTTAAAATTATTGATTTTTAATCAAATAAGATAACAAATCTAATTTAGTTACCACGTGTTTGGGTATAAATTCTCCATTTGCTCCTCGCTCAGTAATAATTGCTGCACTATGATTTTCAAAAAATTTTGTTAATTTTTCTAAAGGAGTATCTATAGTAATTTCTTCAAAATTCTTTCCTAATCTATCAAATCTCAACATAACTTCCTTAACTGGGGATTCACCCGATTTTCCTCTTCTAGATATACTTGCTAATAAATTTCCTAGATTAACTAATCCTACAAATTTATGATGATCTATAACTGGTAATTGATTAAATCCTTGACTTTTTAAAACTTCGATTGCTTCCCTACAAGTAGATTCTGCATCAATAGTGATAGCGACTTTAAGATCAAGATCACGAATTGTAGCACCACCATATTTTTGAATTTTATTTTCCTCCTCTTGTTTGACAAAATTATCAATAAATCCATGAGACTTCATCCAATCATCATTTAAAAACTTTGTCATATAATTTCGAACTGAATCTGCAAATAAAACAACACAACGTTGACCTTTTTTAAGAGATTTACATGCTTGAATTGCTGCACACATTGCAGAACCAGACGAGCCACCAACTAAAAGTCCCTCCTCACGAATAAGTCTACGAGCATAAGTAAATGAATCTTTATCATTTGTCTTGATCCAATCGTCAACGTCACTAACATCAAGAACAGAAGGAATAAAGTCATAGCCAATGCCTTCAACCTAAACAAAAAAAAAAATTGTAAAAATTGATTATCTAAACATAACATTACGAAAGGAATAAGAATATTATACCAAATAACTAGAAACTGGTGCACTAGGATCATTTTCAGCAAGAATTGAACCAATGGGATCCACACCTATAATTTTACAAGTAGGACATTTTTCCTTTATTTTTT